GGCGAATGTATTGTTGCAGACTCCTTCAGGTCAAAATAAACCAATCGACTAATCTTTTTGTTTATGCCGAGTATTCAACTCTGGGCTTTCTCTAATGGGCCCATAAATATTGTTGAAGAGGCGATTCCATTAGTGACCCTTCCCAACTCTTCGGTTGCTAGGGGTAAATATGTCTTTTGCTATGCAGAAACGTGATCCCGGCATATGCGGTTCTACTTTATCCTTTTTTAAGAGGCAATTCTCAACTGCATAAACCCCTTGTGCACTATCAGTAACAATAGACGGTGGAGATTTCCGATTCATTCTCAGCTAAAGATGTACCGTTGGATTGTCATAGATCCCTGAGAGTAAGCATACCACGTCAGCTGAGGAGTTTAGATGTAACCGTGGACCATATGTATACAATCATTCGCATTTTTTTTTTTAAATTTTTAAATGCTCCCAAGAATTTTTGTAGGTTTGCTTATTTTCTTTTCCTTTCGTAATCTTCTTCTTTGTTTAATTGCTGTGTTTATCTTCAACGATAGCGTTGAGCTCTTGAACAAGTGTTTGATCGATCGCACCAAAAGGCTTCGTCTTTTTCTTTTCTTCATCAGGTTTGATCCTTTGATTTCTTCTCACACACTTTTTTGTTGTATCGTTTAGATTACTTGTGGGTTTGGGTTTACTAAGATTCGATCAATCGATGATCTAGAGGTTCGTCTGTGTAGTTCTAGATGAGTTTCTATGTATGAGACAAAAATGGGTTTCTGGGTTTTAAGATTATTAGTCCCTGAGTTCTGTAAAATAGTGTCATGATCGATTCCTCGGTTTGATGTGTATTCTGATATGTGAGTTTGTTTTGATGGTTATCTGATTAGTTTTGTGTATGAGTGTATCTGTAGACGTGGAAGAGATGGCAAAGAGCACGTTCAAGCAAGAGCATGATCTTGGTTTGTAACCTAACTTTGTTCTTGCTTTGGTGTTTGATTCTTAGAAAAAAATAAGAAAAATACTTTCTTTGTGATCTGATGATCCTGTTTTCTGAACATTCAGAGAAGAGAAGAGCAGAGGCTGCTCGGATTAGAGAGAAATATCCAGATAGAATTCCGGTGAGAGTTCAGTGTTTCTCTTTTGAGTTGATTCTAAAGTTATCTGTGATTAGCATGTTGTTTGCTTGTTCCATGTTTAGACGAATCCTCTGTATTTATGAAGCTTACGTTGTTGTTGTGTTTCATGGCCTTGCAATATGGTTATTGGAGTTTTTTTGTGGCTCTGTCCTTGTCTATGGTTTTGTAGAATAGCATAGCATCTGGCTTTTAATGTACAGTCAACTAACAGTTGGTTATCAAGTTCTGATTAGAAGATATGCTTTTGATATTTTGTTTGCACTGTATCAACTCTTGAGATATATGTGATTGTTACAGCTGAATGTAAATTATGTCTGTCCAAGCAACTAATAACTACTGCATATAGTTTGTTTGAACTTCGAATTGTAGTGTCTATAACAACACTCGGACTTTAAATTTGTTTTTATTTTTTTTTGGAATATGATTTTCTTATGCTCGATTCTTATTATGTTCTGCTTTATGGTACTTATGACTTAATGGGTCTATTTGCATATTCATGTGGATAAGTGCTTGATGATTCATATGGTAAAAATGACATTTGAGTGATGATTGCCACTCTTTTGTATTTGTGTGGTGGGATACAGGTGATTGTGGAGAAGGCTGAGAAGAGTGATATACCAACCATCGACAAGAAGAAGTAAGCACTAAGCAGATTTTCATCAGTATCCTCTCATTCGGACCTTAGCTTGTGATTGATGACTAAGCTCTCTCTTTTCTTCGGGATTTTGAATTGGCAGATACCTAGTCCCGGCTGATCTGACGGTGGGGCAATTCGTGTATGTCATTCGCAAAAGGATCAAACTGAGTGCAGAAAAGGCTATCTTTATATTTGTGGACAATGTTCTTCCTCCAACAGGTAAACGAATTTGATCTCTTGTATATTCAAGAGTTCCATCTTTAACACAAGTAAACCATGATCATCAAAGACTTGTTGTATTTCCGGGTTCCGAGGGACAAGAAAGATGACAATATTCAAACTTTGCAGGTGCGCTAATGTCTGCGGTGTATGAAGAGAAGAAGGATGATGATGGGTTCCTCTATGTCACTTACAGCGGAGAAAACACATTTGGATTTGGATCTTCATAGATCTCTCTGCTTGATCATTTCATTTTACCCATCTCCTTCTTTATTTAACTCGTACCTATTTCACCTTCTTTATAACTTATTAAGCAAAAGCAGCCTATGTATTTCTTCTATAAGGACCTTTGGTTGGACCTTTATGTGTACAGAGAAGATAAAAAAATAATGTATATAAAATGCGCTGGTAGTAAATATATCTTCTTCTTTTCTCTGTACTAATCATCATCATTCATCGCATCTCTTCTGCCACTTGACGTGATAGTGTTCGATTCATGTCTTCGGTCTAAAAACCAGTGTCACATGTCGTGTCGTGAGAAGGCCTATTGACCATGACACGAAGAGAAAGCAAATAGCCCAATATCTATGGAAGTTGCGGAATTGCCCAACCAAAAAGGAAGGCCAAGCCACAAAAGGAGGGGGGCTGTGCCACGTGGCGGACAAAGGTCGGCACCGGTGATGTGAGAAGGGTCCCACTGTGTCGTTGACGGAGTGAGGAGGTGGAGGAAAAGAGGAGAGACGGTCGGGCCATGCTGTGTTTCTTCTTCTTTTCAGTATCGGTTTTGTTCCAACATTTATGTATTTGTGATCCTCAAAGATTCTCATTCAAGGCTTAACCGGTCACGTGGAACATGAGTTTTATGTTTTCATTAGTGAAATTCATCGTAATCGAGTGCTTTGTTAACCTATGTCTATTGTGACATTTTCTAATGGTTTCATGATAAGGAAGGTGATCGATCATCGTTGACTTGGAAGAGACTCAATAATGGCGGGTTAAAAAGTTAGCAGCAAATCAGAGAAAGAAGAAAAATGGGAATGCCCACCAAGACTCTCGAGGAGACAAAAGGTTTGGCCGATCAAGACACCCAAATACATACATACCATAGATCTATCTATGCATGCATATAAATGCAGAGATGAATGAAAAAACATATATTTGAAAAAT